CAGCTGAAGCTTCCAAATGCTCTTCAAGGGCAGCCCGAGCACATTGCAATAGTCCAAACAGGAGGTCATGAGGGTATGAGTGACAGTAAGTAGAGCCTCCTGGTCCAGGAATGGGCACAACTGGCACACAACCCAAAGGTGTGCAAAGGCCCTCTTAGCCACGGCTGCCACTTGCTCTTCCACCAGGAGCCGTGAGTCCAAGAGGACCCCCATATTGCGCACCAAGTCCATCTACCCAGAACCAAAGATGGAAGAACCTTGGTACTGGGAGACCTAAACACCCAAAGCCATTCAGTCTTGTTTGGGTTAAGCTGGAGCCCATTATGCCCCATCCAGGCCCCTAGAGCCTGCAGGCACTGAGATAGGTCATCCATGGCATCACTCAGACAGCCCGGAGGAGATATAAAGCTGGATATCATCAGCATACTGATGATACCTCACCCCAAACTGGTACCTTTAAATGTCTGCAGAGATGCAACATGACATTCTGTGTAGGGTGCATTTGTTAGAAGACTTATAAACAGCTATAAGGCAAAACTGCCATCAATCCAGTGATGACTCCTGGTGGCTGTTTAGATACAATCTCAGAGTTTCCTTGATACAGCATGAAAGCAGTCTGCCAATACTGATCAAATGTTCTTTCTATTTCCTGAATGTTTTCTTCCTGTTTTTCTACTTCATTCTCAATGCATTATATTTCTGAGCTTAATATCATGGTTATGAGGAGATAAAGGATATTAGTGACCTTGTTTATCCATCACTCCACAGCTTCCCAGACAACCCACCATTCATGCTGTGAAAATGCCCCATGAGCAGAGTTGCTTCATTTTGTCCTCCCTTTGCCTAGAGCTAATTGTCACACAATCAGTGAAAAAACATGGCAACAAATCCAACTATGGTAAAACAAGGAACGGAGAGAAACAGGCCTACCCCATCAAAAGAGGGGGACAAGCAATCTGTTACACAGAACAGGAAGGAAAAGGAAATGCAACAGGGCTTGAGCACAGCAAACAAAATGTCAGAAGGCTGCTTGGGTAAATAGGGCAAGTACGTGAGTTACAGCAGGTACTGAAATTCTTTTGGTTGTGCCTTCCTTACTTGCTTCAATAATTATTACTTATTACCTGGTTCTTGGATTTTCTAATGAGCTTGTCTGAGTGGCTTCAGCCCTGGATGGAGGCCAATAGTGAGAAATAGTACGAGAAACTGGGGAAACTGGGAAAAGAGAGCCAGTTTGGTCTAATGGTGAAGGCACCAGGCTAGAAACCAGAAGACTGTGAGTTCTAGTCCGGCTTTAGGCACGAAAGCTGGCTGGGTGACTTTGGGCCAGTCCCTCTCTCTCAGCCCAACTCACCTCACCGGGTTGTTGTTGTGGGGAAAATAGGAGGAGGAAGGAATATTAGGTATGTTCGCTCCCTTGAGTCATTTATAAAAATAATAAAGTGGGATAAAAAAATCAAAAAGAAAAAAACCCCAGAAACTGCAGACTACCAGAAAGATGATTATGCAAATGAACGTCAAGCCAAATCTCCACAAAACTTGGCCATCTCACAGCCAAAGCAAGGAACCCACCACATCCCCCATCCTAACCATATCCTGAGACTCAGTGTCGTCTAGCAATTAAGATGTTGCACTGGGACCAAGCAGACACAGGTCCAAGTCTACCTTCAGCCATGGACACTTACTGGGTACTTTTGGGCCAGTCAATGTTTCTTAGCCCAACCTACTCTATAGGATTGTATTTTGGAGATAAAATAGGATGGAGTTCAATACATACCCCGACTTAAGGAAAGTCAGGATAAAAATCCAACAAATACATTCCTAGAGCCTAAGAATTTTCTAGTGGTGTCCCAGCCAGGTATTAAACAGGTTCCATTCTGCTTAGCTTTATTTTGAGATGAGCCAAGTTTAGCTAGATCCTACCATCTGAGCTGGGCTTAGTCAAGACAGCAGCTATGGCAATACAGTGGAAGCCCTGCCCTTTTTACATGTGTTGCACAAGACATGTAAAAAAAAGGCAGTGCTTCAATCACATGGTCATGACTAACATCAGACTTTTTGAGGGGGGGGCCTGTGGAGGCCTCTGGACAC